TAAACATGTTTCCTGAATTTTTGACCATGTGCTTCGACATGCCAAATAAAACATGAATTGTTCAGACCAAATGAGACATGTATTCTGACTGTAAAAATTAAATGGACATGTGAAAAATTGGCAGATTGGCAGGACTACAATAATACTAAAACACAAATAACACAATACATTTACTTACGTACACATGTCGACACATTCACATTCATTCCGACGAAGTTTCACGCGTACCGAACATTTAAAAATTGACTCGTGGTTTTTTGTGACTTTTTGTCTGACCGAGCGGAATATCACGACACGGTTTTTTCTGGTGTAGGACTTATTAATTCTTGTTTCTCGAGCTGGCGTTTAATGATTCAATTGAAAATACCGTCACGACGACCCGCGATTCGCTAGAAACTGACATTTGCTATCGATATGATGCATGTACGAAATTTCATCACGAACGCGAACAATCAATCCGGCATCTCAACTGTCTCGACATAATACTAATAAAACACACCCCCAAATGCAATTCGGCGAAATTTTGACAATTGCGATCATTTGATGCACGTACAATTTCCGCCCGAACGCGAATTTCCGAGCTACGAATGAAGATATTAATGAATTCGTCCTACACCAGCGACAAAACGCGACTTTACATGTTGACTACGCGAGTACTGAACCACGAGTGAGGACGACGAGACGCTTTGCAGACGACGCGGTTCCTAACGATCTTCGTATCCTTCCGCGTTACGTCATGGTTGGACTGACTTGTCCATTGCCTGTCGCGGATTTTGAATCTTTTGATTTAAAAATCGGCACAGTCTCCTCCGCGGGGGAATCATGAACGATTCATGTGGCCACGGAGAAATAGACGTCATCATTGTCTACCGCGGTCACAAAAACGTAATTGTCATCTTGCGCGATAGCGGCAAAATCATGAATATCTGCCGCGGTCGTGTAGACATCGTCATCATTGTCTCGTCTCCCGCAGTCGCAATCAATAAAAAAAATCAGGCCCCAAGTGAGGCCCCCGGCAACCGCCATTAGGGGAATACGGCCCTAAAAGTTTGAAACTATTGTGACAAAGTTTTCACTTCAATAATATAATAGATTATTCCCTGACAAAAATAAGTTAACTTGAGGAATAAAATAACAGATGTGCCCTTTGAAAAAATAACTTATTGTGAAGAACGTTATAGTGAAATTTCAAGTCATTTTAGACACCTATCAGTTTTTTATCAACAGTTTTTTTTTGTTTTTGGTACAGTTAATTGGTCTTATAAAAAGATTTTCCAAAGAATTCTATGTATACTATAAAATTGCTTTTAACGAACAACAAAACTTTAAAATTAATAACGTTTAATGGAAATGAATTATAACATTTAATTGAAACTCATTACCCAAGAATATTTTTTATCATTTCTTTCTACCATGACGATTATTTGTATTACTTCCGTATTTGAACCTCTTCATACGAGCAACTATTTTGCCGAGATCTAGTAACTTTGTTGCAGCTGGCATCTGTCCCTGCAAATAATATATGTTTTGTGAACCCTCAATTTAAACTTTGCCTAACCAAGAGATTATCGCTAGTCCGATCGGACAACATTTTAGCTACTGCGCACTTGTGTGAGCATCCAGCTCCAATACTGCGGTCCGCTACGTCGCACCTACAATCCAGGGACAATCTAGTCGCTAGGTTTGTCACTCCTTTAAATTGGGCCTTATACATTACCAGCTACAGTCACAGAAGAGGATTCCTTCCAAAGAAAGAAGAACAAAGACAGACTCTACTACTGAGAAAGGAGTTAGTAGTTCCAAATATTCTATGTGTATATTTGTGTACTTTCATAAATTTTTGCCAGCAAGGTTAGCCTAACGTTAAACCTCTCCAACAACACAAAAAACAACAAAACTATTTGAGTTGCTGTATTATTTGCTGATCACTTAAACAAAATTAAACATATTAGCATTTTATAAAAAAAAAATAAACATATTAACATTTTATTTAAGCTCTCAGCCCACTAGTAGTTTGTAAATTGCCAGGTTCTAAAAAGTGTACAATCTTTAACACTAGTTTGTTTGATTATTCACTGTCCTGCAGATTCAAAACAATATGGTTGTGAATTTTTATGGAGCCAATTATCCAATGTTTTAGAGCTCACCTATTTTAAAAAGGAGTGACCGAACTACAGTTTTAAATTATAGGTAAAGTATCTTTACGCAAGTAAAACTATAAACTTTTAATAGACATTTAAAATTTTACAACTAAAGGACTTATAAATCATTAACTAAACATCCTTGAAGAAGACACTATAGAAGCACAATCATTTCACTTTTATTAGTTGTCAATCATTTTTCACTACTCAACCACGATTTTAACATGGGTAAAATAAACGTTAACAAAGTAAGGATCCTAAACATATCAAGATAGATAGGAAGCAACAAAGACACTACTTGAATTTAGAATTCCATGGTAATTTCCTGTTTGGATCTCTTTATTTTAATATACAGTAGTTTACCTTTGCTAAGCGCTGTGAGAAGATAAGTTAGATACTTACCATTCTGTTTAATAATATACCTGAATCTATTCAAGGTTCATCCAATATGGGCTTAAAAAATAAAGGATCAAATGCAACTTTAATGATATTAAAAAAATATGACTGAATAATTAAATTAAACACTCTGGTTTTGTCCATTATTTATTATCAAGTTTTACATTATGGACACTAGTCAAAACAAATACAAGTATGGAATTGGAGATAAAGTAATTGCTAACTTGGCCGGCTATTGTTGACAACCTATTTTTACCCCATAAAACCCCCCTTAAACCCCCGTTCCCATAGTCCGATCATGCTGGTTCGCGAACTCGTTCGAATAAATGTAGGTTTACACGTTTATACCAAATTTCATCTAAATCGGATCATTTTTGCTCGAGTTATCGTGCTAACGGACACATATATATATATGAATTTGAACGGATGGTGTTTTTGGCCTCTAGGGACCTCAAAACGAAAAAAAAAAATCGGTCCCGCGTCCAGGTCTTACCATGAGTACTACGGTAATAGCTTATTCCCTATATGGGAAATTCGCTAAAATCTACTTAAAATCCATATTTTTAGCCCCTGAGCTGTGATGTAACTAAAAAATTGTATTTACCTTTCGTCTATAGCTCAATGAGTTGTAACTTTCGTTACGGCCGTTTCGGCATTAACAATGTCAGACAAAAATTATAATAAAGAACTAAATATCATCAAGCACATAGCATCATCAAATGGTTATGACAAAAATATGATTGACAGATTATTAAGTGAGAAAAAGAATAATAATGATAACAAATCTGGAGATGTTCAACAACAAAAGAAGTATGCGTGTATAGAATACTCACACTCAATTCAGTATACACTTACAAAAAAGTTGAAGAAACATGGTATTGAATTAGCGGCCGTAACGGAAGTTACAACTCATTGAGCAATGAGCTGTAGACAAATGGTAAATACAATTTTTTAATAAACATTTACACCACCCCAACCTACAACCAATTTAATAGAAGAAGGAACCACTAATAAACTTAGTCTTTCTCTTTTAAAAAAATGAGTTGTTAACTGATGATGTAATACAAAAATATTTTGATCTAACGTAACTAATCAAACATTATTAATCCAGTGATTGCTCAAGCAATCAAATGCCTGCGAGGCTTTGATTTTACCCTGGAAACCTTAAGTATGGAAACAAGTACAGTAGAGTCCCGTTAGTCCGAAATGGTTGGGACCGGACCCATTTCAGATTACCAAATATTTTGGATTAAATTTTTTTTTTTAGAACGCTAGGCACGAGCCCGGGATTGTCTTTCACATTACTTTAGACTAGACCTGGGGGCTGCAGCATTATCACTTGAATAAAATCCATTTGTGATTGGGCGGGATTGGAACCCAGGACGAAAATGAAAAATGTTAATAAAAAAAATGGCAAAATATTTACTAAAATACTCTATAAAACAAGTCTATCTCGCCCGGCCGCTACAGAATACTTTGAAGAGGTAGGCCTACAGCTAACTGTGTTAAAAGTTGAATAAAAAATTTAAAAAAATGAGAAAAATATGTTTTGGTTTCGGATTATCGGTACTCCACTGTACACACATTTTTATACCAGTGAATGACTCTCCAGCTGTGGCTCCCATTGGAGCTTATTGGTGTACGTCACACGAGAAAAAAAGTTTTTGTAACTGGACTCAGCAGGATCATACAATTATAATACATGCAGTAAAAATTGTTGAGTCACTACAAAAGTATTTCAAATGCACAGAAGAAATAGAAATATGTAATGTGTTATAACCAAGACGATTAAATGCTAGGATGAAATGTTGACTGTTGTTGTTTAGAAGCAGCTAAACCACTTTTCCTAGTAGGTAACAGCAATCCAACCAGATTGGTTACCATTACTTTCCTTCGTATTTTTGTTGCTCTGGTAGGTCGAGTTTACATTAGTGCAACTAACTGATGATGAACGTTTGTTGACATCAAACAGTTAATGTGTTGTGCTATGACTTATTATTGTGTATTAATACTGGGGGCCTCATTGGCAAATTTGCCCGGGGCCCCTGAAGCCCAAAGTCCAGGCCTCTATGTTGTAGTGGTATGTTAAGGTTCTTGCCAAAACAGTCTCGACACCTAGAAGCATCAGTCCAACCAACATTGCATTGACATTGTTGTATGATCCTTCTTGCATCAAGAAATCCATTTAGAGAAGCATAAAAGATACTTTAAGAAAAAATTTATTCTGATATTGAAATCATATGGCCTGTTTTAGTTAAAAAAAAAACAATTAAATGTTTTTTAGAAAAACTATTACTTCAAAAATTTCTTAGTGAACATATATACGGCCTCTCTAATAATCTTAGAACTGTAAAAATATGTAAACTATTCCAGAGGTACACATATTGATTGAATAAAAGTAACTGATACATTTTAAAATATTTTCTTTGAAATAAGTACATTATTATTATTGACATAATGCATAGTTTAACAAAGAAATGTTTTTTTTTACATAAATAAAATCTATTACATTTATAATTAAGTAGATTTGTAATTTTACAAGAAATATAATTCAGTTAAAAATATCATATGGCTATCACAATAATGTATAAAATTAATTTAACAGTATTTGATACAGCTATAGGAAAAGATTCACAGTAGTTACATCGGAAGAATACCTTTGGCATACTCCTAATACCTATTTAAGTAACTAATGTTGAAACTAAAACAAAATAAAAATACTGAAAAAAACACACAGGATTAGAAACGAGGTTGCTTAAGGCAAAAATTATTTTGAGTAGATGCTATATAAAACTAGTAGTTAACTACAAACAGAGTATACTGTTACTAATTTAAACTACTTGTTTTTTTTTTAAAGCAAGACCTGTACAACTTATTAAAAGTACAGATTGTGTTTCTTGTCTATTTAGTAAATACAGTAGACTTCCTCTTATCCGGAATCCTCGGGACCGAGGCCAGTCCGGATAACGGGTTTTCCGGTAAAACCGACGTCCCAAAAAACTCGTTAAAATGGACAGTTATATTCTGTTATATTATATACAGTTATATTATATACTGTGATATTCTCAACTTAAATTTAGGAGAGCATTGTATTTGGACACGTGATCACTGGTCTCAAATATTTTCCACGAGAACAGTAGTTTCAGTACCACGCCACTCCCTGCCGATCTAGTCCGGTTAAACCAATGTGCTGATAACAATTGTCCGGTTAAACCGATGTCTGGTTAAAAGGTGTCCGGATTAGAGGGAATCTACTGTATTGGTATTCATGAGTGGCACAACTAACATTGATGTTTAAATGAAAGAGTTGATTTTTGTTATTTTAGTAATTAAGTGCCATTCATAAATGTTTCCTTGTTCGTCAGCAAGTAAAGTAAAACCTGTTGTGTACAAATTACACACAAATGGCACAAACAATTGTAATGGAATAATTAAGTAGAGAATTAAAGTAGTTAGGCATGCATACAAATTAATGTATCATGTAGGAATTGTATTAAATGGTATTCAATTATTTGTTATCTTTTTCACAACAAATCATCATTCTTAGACTAAAGTTGAGGTGATAAACCCCATAAACTTAAATTAAATTGTGTATTTTGATTTTGGCAATGATCTCTTGGCCCTATTTATATTTCAAATCCAGTTATTTTCCTAAAATTTACAATTTATAATGTAAATAAACATTTTAAGTTTGTTGTTATTAGAAACACTAAATTCCTGCTGAATACTGTTGAAAAATTAGACCACAGAGAAGTAAGATACAGAGGATACAAGCTTATGGGACAACCGTACTTTTAGCTCTGGTATGTTGGGGCAGAAATGTACTTATACCGAGCAAGTAAGAGCCCGAATGGTGATGGCCACATAGCATTGTTGTACAGCAGTTGTAGCACACAGGATCTTCCTACAGTGTGAGTACTGTAGTACGTAATGGCGAGGGGGAAAGGAGAGCAGGAGAGGACAACGGATACCATTTGCTCTAGACACCAGCCACTGGTGCTAAACATCAGTTAAGTGTACCATTCTGTTTCTTACTTCTCTGCGATTAGACACATTTTTTCTTTAATTCTATACCGGTACTTAATATTATTTTGATAAGGTTGAATATTTATTATGTAGCCTAATTATTATTATTTATAATTCTGTAAATTAAATTATTAAATTTACTGTTCTGTACTTAATTATCTTTTCTTAGTCTTTGCATGCGTGTTTATTATCTCTTAAGGCCTACTGCTTGCTTAGTACTGTAAAGTTTAAATAATTTATAGCAAGCCTAAGAATTATGTCTGAAAAAATTACAGTACCTGACTATGTTTATTGCGTGATTGTAAATGCCGAATGACAATAAATTATGATTATGATTATTATAATACAAGTTTCTTTAGTTGTCAAATGTTAGGTAAACTTTAAAGTTTCAAATAACTGGCTGATCGGTGGGGTGTTAATTAGTACTATAAGAACAATCATTGTTCTATTCACATTACTGATCCTTTGACGAGTAATTGCTAATTGGTGTTATGTTTATATACCTAGTATGGGCAAAATTACTTTTAGTGTCAATACTGATATTTAGCAGATACAATTTGTACAGTTAAATAAACTAGAGTCCAAAAAACATATTCCTGATAAACCTTTAAACACTTAAAAACTTGTTTATAATTTGAACGATTACAAATTATATGTATGTATACTACAATATTTACTGTTGATTAAATTGAAGGGGAACTGAAGTTTTCTAAATGCAAGTTAAATATGTCTTATGTAAAATGCTCAGTCTTAAGTACTAGACACAGTAAGTAAGTACAGGGATCTCAGTTTTATATGGCACTTCTTTAGCTGGGATTATCATTCTCTAACCTTATAAAATATATACCGTAGTGCTTGTAAGCAATCATGGGAATGTAATAATTTACTTATCGGGAAAAAGAGCTTTGTTGATTTAGTGCATATTTAGAACAACACTACCACTTCTACCAGTATGTTTTGATAAACAAAGTTTTCTGCAATGAACTTTCAAATGTTTAATTGATGACAACTATAGATTAAATATACTGTTCTGCAGAAATGTGCTTAGGCCCTATAATTTTTTTTTACCGTTTAGAAATGCCATTTGGCATTAGTTAGGACTACCTAACAAACAAATTAATAATCAACATTTGTCTAATTTGGCGATTTTTATTTTTTACTGATCTATAAAATTATCAGGTTTTGAGTATCTGAAAATCTTGACTGTATGTGAACCAAACTTTTATTTTATGATTTGAAATAAAATTCCACTCCTCAAAAATAAAAAAAAACCGTTTAACCATGTAGTTTTTAAAAATGATAAAAAGCTAGTTTGAATACGAGAGGTGTACAACTTTTAGAAGAAGAACTAATAGAAGAACAACTAATAGTGGGAGTTCCTAATTTATATAAAAGCATATTTTGTCTAAATTACATAACAAGCATTAGTAATCAAACATTGATAAACAAATCAAAGTAATAAAATCCAATATAAACATATTTCAACCAAAAACTATAAAAATAACATAATTAAAAGAACAAATACTATGGGAAAACAACTATAAAGAATACTACTACAACAAAGAGGCTAACATAACAATTAACTAAATAAAATTTTTTCATGCAAAACTATTTAATTATTTTAAACGTTTTATCTTAGTGTTTAACACTGTAACTTCTATCAATATTTTCTTTTTTAATTTTTTTTATGAGAGTAGCTAAATTAGTCCAAGTTTACAGTTAAATACAAACCGTACTATACAAATTTAAACTACAGTGACTTAAAGTCAACTGTTTGTCCATTTTTGATTCTATTTAAAACCCCTTACACAATGTTACAAACAAATGTTATAAAACTGAGATTTTTTACTAATACCTTAGGATAAGTAATTATTACCTCATTGAATTATAAAACATAAATCGTACACAGTCTATGACAAAAGTAAACTATGCTAGTTACTATGGGGACTATGTAAAGTCTATATAGTCTTGGTAGCGGGCAAGTAGGTAAAGTACTAGCACGCCAGTCCCCATCCCTAGGTTCTGCAATAGCAGGGTCCAAAGGGCACTACCTACACTCTTCTTACTGGCCTCCTCAGCCACCTCATTCATCTCAGGAACCTGCAACAAATAGTAGGAATTAATCTACAAATGTATTAGTTTATTTGTAGATACATTCAGTTGATCATATGTTTGGTTTGGAAAGTTGATCTGCTCCTGGCTGACGTCTGCCCGGTGACTTGTCTCTCTGTCAGTACAGTTTCAGAAAGGGGAGGTTGACAATCGACACAATATCTGAAGTACAAAGAGCAGTTGAATGTGCTTCTTGTAAGGTTAGATGTCAAGAATGCAAGAATCAAGAATTTATTACAACAAATTACAAAAAGAACATTTTGTATAGTTGAGGTCAATATGAGAGTAACTTAGGCTAAGAAGTCTCAGTAATCTGCAAGGATAAAATGTCCGGTGGTTAGCATTAGGGCCTATAACATTCAATAACTAGGCTACTTTAAATAATTTAAACAACAAAGTAAGTTACACAGATTTAAGGCCTACATCAGTCAGAAACTAAAAACTAATATCAATGTCAGACATGAAAAATTCACTTAAACTATAAAAAGGGTGATTTAATAACCAGCAAAAAAGTTTACTTTTAAATAACTTAAGATCAACACAGCAGTGTGCCTCAGCTGGCAAACGATTAAACATCTTTAACCCTATATAAGAAAAAGATTCTTGTGACTTTGTTAGCCTGACTAAAGGTAACTCTAAATTATTCCTATGTCTAGTAAAATAACTATGTGAATGTGATCTCAAGGCTACAGCATTAATATTAACTTTTACATAAACAAGACACACATAAATAAATAAATTAAAAACAGTGAGTATTTTTTCCTGAATAAACAAGGGTTTGCAATGGGCTCTGTACTTAGAAAAAGTAATGATTCTTAAAGCCTTCTTTTGTAGGAGCAAGATTCTGCTAACATCATGGCCACAGCCCCACAGCAAAATACCGTAGCTTAAAATACTATTAAAGAAGGCAAAGTAGGCCATCCGTAGGTAGTGTCTAGGGATTAATTTTTTAAGCTTGCGGAGTAAGTAAATAACTCTTGAGAGCCTACTACAAACATGGTCAATGTGCACACTCCAGCCTAATTTAGAATCCAGGTATATACCCAATAATTTAACATTATCACAGAGTTGAGGAAAGTTTAAATCATGGTTACTTAAACTAAATAAAATAGATTGAGTCTTACTATTATTCAATAGAAAACCGCTACTTTTGAACCAATCGTTACATTCAATGAGACAGTTGGACATATAAACATTAAGATTATCTAAACTGTGATTAGGTCTACTGCAGAAAACAGTTGAATCATCAGCAAAAATTATAGAATTACAATTTACATTAACAGGCAAGTCATTAATGCATAATTAATGCAACTTAGAACTAATACAACTAAGAATAGAAATGGGCCAAGGACCGATCCCTGGGGCACGCCACTCTTCACTACCGACACCTCAGAGAGCTTATTGTTATACAAGACTTTCTGTGTGCGGTTGGCCAAATAGGTCCGAAAAAAGTTTAGCTCAACACCTCTTATGCCGTATTGTTCAAGTTTTGTGAGAAGGATGTCGTGCGGAACACAGTCGAAAGCCTTTGAAAGGTCACACATGGTAGTGAGTGTGCTTTCATGCTTTTCAAAACCATTTAAAGCAGCAACAACAAGGCTACCAACTGCGTCCACAGTTGACAGTCCCCCTCGAAAGCCGAATTGGGATTTAGAAAACAAATTGTTGGATTCAAAAAATTTAGTTACCTGGTGTATCACAGCCTTTTCCAAAATTTTTGAGAAGATCGGTACAACGGAGATCGGTCGATAGCTCTCAGGAAAAAAATCACCTTTTTTTAAAATAGGCACAACTTTAGATAATTTAAGGGATTCTGGAAAATTACCAGACATTAAACAAATATTGATACAAAGGGTAAGTGGGGATAATATCACAGATAGCACTTCCTTGATGAGAACACTGCTGATATCAAAGATATCACAGCTTTTACTATTTCTTAAGCCAATCACAATATTTGCTACTTCCTCACTAGACACTGGCTTCAGAGTGAAATCTGGTACGTTGATGGGCACCTTCATCATATTTTTAGCAGCAGCAATGGAAGGCGGCACTTGGTTACGGACATCATCAACCGAAGAGACGAAGAAGTCACTGAAGATCTGCGAAGTCAGTGAGTCAGCCGATGGAGTAGTTTTCCCCGTCGATGAATTATTAATTAACTCCCATGCACGTTTGCATTGGTTGGGCGCATAGGATATATTGTCAGCATTAGACTTGAGTTTTGCCTGGTTAAGAGCTCTCCGATAACTTGCTTTTGCTTCGACATATCTCTGTTTAGCAGTGACAACTAAAACATTATACCTTTCTGCCCACTGCCAAAAATCGTAAAGCTTTTCAACTTCTCTTCGCTGTTGGGTTAGTTCATGACTGTACCATTTCATTTTAGTTTTATTCTTACTGTTCATAGGCTTAACAGTCTTAAAGGGGAAGCATTCCTTCATAGCATCCAGAAAAGTAGAGAGAAACTTGCAAAAGATGTCGTCCTTATGATTAGATAACACTTCATCCCAGTTTACGTTTAACAGAACCAACTTGAAAGATTCTATTTTAGGTCTACTGAAGTCCCTGATCAGCTTAGGAGTAGGTTTTACATGGTCGATATTTTCAGCCAGACAGATCGATGTTAACAGAGCATTGTGGTCAGACAAGGGTGGTGAGAGAACTGAAGTGTTTGCATCTTCTTCAGGTAAGTCTGTAACCACATTATCAATGCAAGCACCTCCACGGGTAGGCTTAAAGTTTAAACAACGACAGTTAGAAGAACGCAGGACATCAAGAAAGTTTACAGTAAGGCTATCCTTAGAGTGAACGTCAATATTAAAATCGCCACAAGCTATAATTGGTAGGCCAGCTTGTGATAAATATATCATTAGTCTATCAAATCCATCCAGGAAAACATTGTGGTTACTATTGGGGACCCTATACAATGATGCTAGGATTAATTCCACAGTAGGCTGCTGCATACTAACCTTCACACATACAACTTCAAAGTCACTCTCAATACAGTAACTGCTCACATAAATTTCTTGGTAAATTAGGCCGCACTTTGTGTATATAGCAACACCACCTCTGGTCTTATCAGTTCGGCAAAACATCGATGCACAATTGTAGCCCTCGATAACCGCTAAGTCTCTGTTGGACTCAGTAAACCAATGCTCACACACACAGAGGATGCCTACGTCATTAAGGTTCATTAATACCTCTACTTCGTTAATTTTATTGGCTAAGGACTGAGCATTAACAGAGAGAATATTCAGCACTTTATTGGATTGACCCCTTAAGGCAGACTCCAAAACACTTACCCTGTGGATAACTGGGTCTGTATGTTCGAGTTTAAATTACCGGTACTTGCCCTGGAAGATTTGATTGCTCTGGTAATGAACTTTGATACATAAATATCCCTGGGCCAGAAATCTGAGGTGTAAGCTTCGTTTAACAGGCTTGCCGGAATTCCAACTTTAAAAGAAGAGTAATCTTCGGGATGTCTGGACGTTAACTGCTCCACAACATATTCGGCTTCTTTTCTGCTGATAAGATAATCCTTCACATCAGTTTCCTTAGTGTTAGGTCCAAAACGAGAGACAAACAGAAAAACCTTTCTGCCTGCAGTTGTGAGGTTATGTGACACAGTCGAGCTACCTGTTATAAATTGTCCACTTCTATTCTTAATAGGCCTGTGGCCCTTGACATTTTCGTTTGATGCACTCTGATTCAGACTCGACACATTTCTACCTCTTTTCCGCGGTCTAACCTTCTGAAAACTCTCACCGTCATTGCTTGGTGTAGGCTCTTGGCTGCCATCAATAGTTGTATGTAGGCCTACATTTCCATCTTGAGATGAGTTAGAGTTAGTACTCTCCCAAACTGTCCCAGTGGTCAGATTTGTGACACCCTCAGACTGGTTTACGTTACTAATTGAATTGGAAATACTAGTATCGGGCCCTAGGCTACGAGATACATTGGACCCATTACAATTACGATCACCCGTCACTGTTTGTTTAGTGTTAGGCTTGTCATTTGCAGTAGACAAATGGAGACCTTTGTTTGTTGCTAGAGCCGACCTAGGCCGATGACCGATGTTGGATGTAGGCCTACTGGTAGTTATTTTATTGGTAGAAGAGAGATCTAGGCCTGATCTTGATAGGCTGTGAGCACTAGGACCACCCACAGTTTCACTAACTCTAGGACGTTTTAACATTCCAGCATATGATATGCCATCGTTAAGTAATAAATCACCAATAGCTTCTTCTTGGCTAGTCAAAGCAGAGGTTAGTCTGACATTGTCAGACTGGAGTTCACTAAGTTGTTTTCTCATTTCAACTTGATTCTTTTTGAGTTCAAACATTTGATCAGTTAAAATTTTGATATGATCAAAACAGCGGCAACAATTTTCACTTTCACTATCCTTTAATTCAATATTAACGATTTGATTACCAGTGTTGCTTTCCTTGGCCTTTAGGTTAGAACGAGAGCAAAGGCTACATAACCATGAAGACTCGACACCAATATTACCAATATCTTTATTGGATTTACCCGCACATTCAAAATGGAACCAAGAATTACAATTTCCTTGACATTGAATTCCACCGGTACTTTTAGTTACGTTTTTACTACAGCTTCCACATTTAACCAACTGTCTTCCACCCGCCATCTTGATTTTTTTTTTAAAGGCCATCTTGAATGCCTTTAGCTCGGTGAGATATGTCGGTATGTTGATCAGGTTGAGGAACAGCTCCTGTGTCCCAGCGTATCTGTTAAGGCTTATTGAGTGCTGCAGAAATCTTACTTACAAAACCAAAGATGGATCGTGGGCGATGGATGTCACTTACTGTGCCGCAAAATGGTGATTTTTTTTTTACGGAGGGCCAGGCTTACAAATGACCATAGGATTGCATCACAGCTGGCACAGCTTATTGTGCACCCTCATTCACAGGTCCTCATTCTCTGTCAAATCCCAGGTCCTTGGCAAAACATGAGATCCTTTTGAC